CTGTGCTAGACTGTGCTGTGCTTCTGCTCGTTTCTCCTGGAATGTCTGAGGCTGTCTGGGGAAGCGTTATTCAGAATGCAGACAGTCACTGCAGTTTCGACTCCTTTCTGAATTACAGTCTAGCAACATGACGTGACGCTGGGTCTCCACGTATACTTTCAGAACCTAATTCCATATGGAGAGCAATGTGTTCCTCCCTCCCTCCTTCCCTTTCTCTCTCTCTCTTTCTTTCTTTTTTTACATTTCTCTAGAGGACTTTGCTCCCAAGTTTACTCATAATCTTTTAGTGTCTTTTTAAGGCGTGTGTAAACAATTACTTTTGTTAGATTTTGATCAAATCTCAGTTGGGACAGGATCTGAGTTTCAGAGTCAGGGAATAGGTGGCATTCGTTAGGTTTTGGTTACTATAATCGGTCAATATACATCCTTGAACATATATCTCTGTACATTCAGCCAGTGTTTTGTTGTATATAAGAGTGATTTAAGGAGGATGGAAGTTTGTTTACAACTTAAACAATAGCACTAAACAAACAAAGTGGTCCAAGGCTGGCAGAGCAGGGCTGGTATGGTTGTTCTCTGCCACAAAGTCCCAAAGGAGTCTAGTCTCCATCTAACCCCCGTCCTATCCCTCATAGTACATAATAGCTGCTGGAATTCTGGCGATCACATCTGAGTTCCAGACAGCAGGATGGAGGAAGAGCAGAAGGGCACACTCCCTTATTTTTAAGGAGACATCTCCAAGTCCCTCACAACTTCATTAGCCTGTGTTGATCACATGGCCATGTGCAGCTATAAGGAAGGCTGGGAAATGTAGTCCTTTAGTCGGGTGGCCCTTTGCCTAACAAAAAAATCTGGTCTCTGTAGCAACTAAGGAAGAATGGGATAGTGGCTAGTGGGAAGCAGCTGGCAGCCCCTGCCTCAGAGTACCATACAAGGCCCTACTAATTTTCCCCCTTCCGTATTTCAGCAGTGATAGGCGAACATCTCCTAGAGATGCTGAGGGGCAGCTTTTTGTCAGTGGGATTCTGCCTGCCTGGTGCGAGATCCTGGTCTCAGGAGCGGGTGGGAAGCCATCCCTGTTTCTGGGTCTTCTTGGACAGAACTGGGGGAAATTAAGCATCTCACTGAGGAGCCCACCCTCTCCGCCACTCACTGATGCTCCAGGAGGCGTGGCCCCTCTCTGCAGCCATTTAGTTACCTTCCTTGGCCATGGCGGGGCAGGAAACCCTTCCTCTGGCATCCAGTCCCAGTGGCCGCCCAGCTCTGACTCTGCACCTGGGGCTGCAGCCCACACACCTCTTCCTCACGTCTTTCTTCCCACGTCCCTCGCGGCATTGAGCACAAGGCAGGGCACAAAGTAGGTGCTTAATAATTCTCAGGAATCAATTAGGAGAAAGTGATGACAAAACTCACATTTGCTGCAAGGGGTCATTTGTGTTGTGGTATCCAGTAGTGTGTTCAAGCCAATTGCATGCTTTTGAGTGCTATTGATAACTTTGCTAAAATAGTAACTTTGTGAGAGTTAATGTTTATCGAGCCCTTACCGTGTGTCAGGCACCATTTTAGCACTTGGCACGTTCCTCATCATAACACTCCTAATGCTGGTGCTGGGAGCCTCCCCATTTTGCAAGAGAAGACTCTGAGGATGGGAGGTTAAGTCACTTGCTCGGCTCGTAAGGGTTGAATCTGGGGTCTGAACCCAGGCAGCTGGCTCCGGCTGCCGCAGCAAGGCAGAGCACTAGGGTGGCCAGAGGCAGTGCCCAGAGTCTAGGACCGAGAGAGGGGCCAAAGCTGGGCACTGCAGCTTCTGTTTTGCCCCTGAGTAGTCAGGGATGCTGCAAAAGTCGTATCTGCCTCTCGAAGACAAGGGCTGGGCTTTATCAGGGAGTGCAAGGCCTGCCGAAGTTGGGGGCGAGGGGTGCCTGAGTTGCAGAGGGCGAGACCGATTGTTGCCCTGTGGTACACAGGCCTGTGTGGCCGGGTCTTCCAAAATACTCCTGAGAAACCAGAAGTCCTGAATGTTGCACGCCGCCTCCTCACTTGCAGATCACAGTATCGAATTGTTCAGAACACCAAGCAAACCAAAATAGCCCATCTGCTGCGTAGCTTTGGCCAGTGAGTAGACAATTTACAAATCCCGAGCTAAATCATCGAGAAAGTCCTTTCTACCTTCAAAATGCCAGATTCCCAAGCAGCCCTCCCCTCAAAGATCTTCAGTCTCAAGGCATCTGCCTGTATGGACCACGCAAGAAGAACCCGAACGGAAGGGCCTGTGGGGCCCAGGTGGGGACACCTGTGAAGGCTGGCCACCAGAGGAGGCTTCCTGCGGACGGAATCTTGGAGACGGCTTGGACAAGAACAGAGGAAGCGGTGGTGCTCCGGGCTCAGGCGGCTCTTGCCTGGCAGCTTCCCTTAGCTCCTTGGGTCCTCCTGGCATGCCCAGAGCCAGCCCCAGACTGTGCTGTTAGGCCAAGTTCCTGCGTGAGAGGACAGAGTCTAAGGGACATGCCCCCAGAAGGGAGGTGGCAGGGCGGGACCAAAAGTAGGTCTGACCACATTCCACCCCAGTGGCAGCGCTTCCCGGAGGGATTGGGGGGTGGCCAGGGTGGCACCCGAGGATTGAGTTCCCCAGTGGAGGCAGGAAGAAGGAAGTCTCAGCCTGAGTCAATCCTGTATGTGGGAACCATGGCGGCAGCTGCCAGGGACTTTCCCGGCTGAAGCGTAGCCACGAGGGACGTTCCTGCTGGTGCTGGAAGGCAGCAGCACAAGTCAAAGACCTGCAGCGTGAACGGAGGGGTCCAGAGGTCACCCTGGGCAGGCCGCATGCTGCAGCGGATCCAATCCAGATCCCAGGAGAGCCCCTGCACACCTCCGCACCCTGTCTCCCACCTATAAAAGGAGGAGATTGGCCCAGTTGACCCATCTCTGCAAAACAGTGCATATACCACTGGTGATTTCAGTTGCTGTCTCGTGGAGGAACACTTTCCCTTTTTTCTTTTTTTATCTTTTTGAAACAGAGTCTCACTGTGTTGCCTGGGATACAGTGTGGTGGTGTCATTATAGCTCACAGCAACCTCAAACTCTTGGGCCCAAGTGATCCTCCTGCCTCAGTCTCCCAAGTAGCTGAGACTACAGGCATGTGTCACCACGCCCAGCTAATTTTTCTATTTTTAGTAGAGACAAGGTCTCGCTCTTGCTCAGGCTGGTCTCAAAGTCCTGACCTCAAGCGATTCTACCACCTCGGCCTCCCAGAGTGCTAGGATTACAGGCGTGAGCCACCGCCCCTGGCCCCTTTTCTCTTTTTTAAATTTTCATAGTCAGGTATTAATTTTCATGTGAATTAGAAAAAAATAACTATGTCACCGCCAAACCTGCCATTTCACAATAATCATAGCTAACTCTTAATGAGTGCCTACTGTGTACCAGGCACTATTTGAAATAACATAAGCCCACCCACAAACATATTGACATCTCACTACTAACCGTGAGATTCATACTGTCATTGTCCTCTACTTGCAGATGAGGGAAATGAGGCACAGAGAAGAAAAGTCACTTGCCCAAGGTCACCGAGCTAGTAAGTGGCGGAGCTGGGGTCAAGACCAGGCAGCTGGTCCCAGAGCCTTGCTCCTGGCCTCTCTAATACTTTTGCTTAGACTCAGGGTGGATAGAAGAGAGTTAGTAACAGCGCAGGGCAGGTGACATTCGTACTTGGGAAGGTGGTGAACAGGTGGCAGAATGGCTCTGGAGGGCTGGAGTAGGTGGTCTCCAAAGGCCTGTCCAGTTACAGAGTTCTGTACTTTCAGGAGATAAAAAGCCAGATTGAAATTTTATTTCAGGTAGCCATATTTTTCCATTAGGCAATATGTTCACAATGTTCTCAAATCAAAACTATATTAAAAGTTATATAGGCCAGGTGTGGTGGCTCACGCCTGTAATCCTAGCACTCTGAGAGGCCGAGGCAGGAGGATTCCTTGAGCTCAGGAGTTCGAGACCAGCCTAAGCAAGAGCGAGATCCCATCTCTACTAAAAATAGAAATTAGCTGGACAACTAAAGATATATAGAAAAAATTAGCCGGGCATGGTGATGCATGCCTGTAGTCCCACCTACTCGGAGGCTGAGGCAGGAGGATCGCTTGAGCCCAGGAGTTTGAGGTTGCTGTGAGCCAGGCTGACATAACAGCACTCTAGCCTGAGCAACAGAGCAAGACCCTGTCTCAAAAAAAAAAAAAAAAAAAAGTTATATAGAGGTACCACCCAAACCCCAGTTTGTCCTTCACGGGTTGCTTTAAGGAAATACAAGCAAAGAAAACATATTCTTCCTCCTCTTCTGCATCCAAAAGGCAGTACGCTGTGTATACCTACCTTGATTTTATTTCAAGATTATCAAGATATCCTGGAGACCTTTCCCTATCAGCCATCATGATCTGCTTTCCTCATTCCTTATTCCTTTAAACAGGTGTTTGGTATTCCAGAAGGTCTCTTTAATTAGCTCCTCCTCTATTGATAGCCACAGAGGAGAAAGTTCTCCATATTTTGCTATTACCAACAAGGCAACAGTGAATAATTTTGTACATGAGTTGTTTTGTCCAGGGCAAGTAATTTTGGCTTTCGGACAATCCCATGGTGAAAAATGGCACCTTGGAGTCATTTTCCCATTGTGAATGAAGGTGATAAGCTTTTCATATGTTTAAGGCTTACTTGTAATTTTTTTCTCTGAACATTCGTGTCCTTGGCCCACTTCTTTATTGGATCTTTTTGTTCTTGATTTCTAAAGACTCTTTATATATTAGGAAAATGAGCCCTCTGTCTCTGATTTATGTTGCAAATATTTCACCCAGGTTGTCATTTTTCTTTTGACCTTGCTGTTGATATTTTTTGCAGAAGGTGTTTTGTTTGCTGGTTTGCCTTTGTACATTTAACATTTATGCAGTTGAATGTATCAAACTTTTCTTTTGTGGCCTGTGGATGTTTGCGTTATGGGTAGGAAAGCCTTTCCCACTGGAAGGTTAGTTATAAAGGAATAGGTTGTTTTCTGCTAGAAAAAAAGCCAGCTTATTCAGGAGGAGAATGATAAAAGAAAACCCTGGGCCCAAAAGCACAATCTCTTGCTAGGCAGTGAAGCTGAAATCACTCACCTGGTGTCTTTCCCCATCAGCCCCGCTGCAGACTGACCTGGGAGGCAGTGGCCTCTGGCCCAGGGGGGACACCGCCATGGCCCTCCTGATACACCTGCTGGTCTGCATCTTCGGAATGGGTTCCTGGGTAGCCATCAACGGGCTCTGGGTAGAGCTGCCCCTGCTGGTGACGGAGCTGCCCGAGGGCTGGTACCTGCCCTCCTACCTCACAGTGGTCATCCAGTTGGCCAACGTCGGCCCCCTCCTGGTCACCCTGTTCCATCACTTCCGGCCCGGCTACCTTTCCGAGGTGCCCATCATCTTCGCCGTGCTGGGGGTGGGCACCATCGCCTGTGTGCTCTTCGCCTTCCTCTGGAATGTGACCTCCTGGGTCCTGGGCAGCCCCCACAGCATCGCCTTCATAGTCCTCACCTTCTTCCTGGCCCTGGTGGACTGCACCTCTTCGGTCACCTTCCTGCCCTTCATGAACCGGCTGCCCACCCAGTACCTCACCACCTTCTTTGTGGGTGAAGGGCTCAGCGGCCTCCTGCCTGCGCTGGTGGCTCTTGCCCAGGGCTCGGGTCTCACCACCTGCGTCAACGTCACTGAGGCGTCAGACGTCATGCCAAGCCCCGTGACCACCAGAGAGACCAACGTCACACAGGTACCCAGTGTCACCCTGAGCCATCGCAGCACTCTGTGCTTGAGCACAAGTGCAGGGGACGGGAAATTTTGCCCCCTCCACCCTTCTAGGTTGACGTAAGGCAGATTAACGCAGCAAAACCATTTTAATTACGTTAACATGTATGCAAGGGAGTGCCACAAAAGTATGACACTCGAGGAAGGGCCAGGTAATGGAAGCGTATACAGCATCCTGAGCTACAGAAAGGAATAGAGGCTTGAGGCTTCCGGGGGGTGCTAGAGACAAATTATGGGGGTGTGAGGAGAAGAAATGTATGGCAAAAGGTTGCCTTGTTATGTGGATAAAGGTCTCTCGGGTGATAAAGGTTATCATCTTTCACTTCCTGGTACAGATACCTTTACTCATAAAAAGTCCCTTTAGGTGTAAATTTCCTTTACGAAAGGGCAACTTTTCAGAGCTACTCCCGAGTCAGCAATTCTTAAAATAACCAGCTGGAAATAATCAATATGCACGAGAGGTCTGTCTATTCTGCGGTGGAATATTCTGGTCTCCTACGGCCTTATTTGGGGGTGGTATGTCCTGAGATCACGTGGCATGCTGCTGTTCCTAGGCACTTTGGGAAGCGTACCAGGGGGTCCCTATACATACAGACCGATTAAATAAAACTCTCTGGATGGGGATGGGGCTTAACTGAAGTCCTTGCGTCAGATTTTCTTTTGGAGTATGGAGTTTTAGACTGCAGGACATGCCTAGCCTGCCACCCGCCATCGTCCACACCCGGAGACACAGCAGGGCTGTGGACAGCCTCACGTCCATTCATGTGTTGCTGCCAAATGAGTCAAGAAAAATGTTGATTTTCAGAGCTTCTTAGATTCCAGAATTGTAGATAGGGGATTGTGAACTTGTATTTATTCAAAATTCCCCGGGTGATGCTGACATACAGCCAGGTTGAGAACCAGAGACTTCAGACATGGCTTCAATATCTCATGTTAAAACACCAAACTTTTCATCAGTGGATATTGAACAATCTACATAAGTCTGGTATTATCCAAACCACAGCCGAACAGCAGCAGTTGCAAACCAGTGGCTCCAGGCCACGCTGGCTTGCAAGTATTTTTTTTTAAATGTTTGAATTAGTCGATATTTTAAAATTTTGAAATTTCACATATCTAAAACTGGATGTATGACATCTCCCGAAAGAGATCTGGCCACACCAGGCCACATTACCATAGGGCAACCTTGGGTAGGGGGGTTCTACCCTTAGGGGGGAGGTTCCCCCATTCACAGTCTCCAGCTAGCCCCACCTCTGAACATATTTGTGGTTGCCTCCTCCATGGGCTAGCAAAGTGGTAAAAGGTACAGCACTGGTGTTAGCCGACTTTGCATTGCTATAATACCTGAGCTGGGTAATTTATAAAGAAAAGAGGTTTATTTGGCTCACGGTTCTGCAGGCTGTACAAGAAGCATGGTGCGGGCATCTACTTCTGGTGAGGGCTTCAGGGAGCTTCCAACCAAGGCTAAGGGCCAAGGGGAACAGGCGGGAGGGGACAGGGGAGGGGCCATGCTCTCAGTGAACTAATAAAACAAGGGTTCATTCCTTACCTTGGGGAGGACACCAAGCCATGCATGAGAGATCTGCCCCCAAGACCCAAACGCCTCCCACCAGGCCCCACCTCCAACACTGGGGATCGAATTTCGACATGAGATTTTAAAAAAGACAAACACCCAAACCATACCAGCTTCCGAGTCAGAAAGCACCAGATGGACTGGCTTTGCCACCTTCTCCCCACGACCCTCAGGTAAGTGGCAAACCATTCTGACACCTCAGTTCCCTGTAGAATGGGGAGTAATGGTCCCCAGGGCACAGGGCTGTCAGGAGCCACACAGGGCTGATATGTGCAAGATTCTGGTGCTCCCTGGGTGGTAAGTGCGAGCAATTATTTCTGCTACCTTATTCATGTATTTATCAATTATCAATTAACGATGATATATAGTATGCATTACATATCATCATAGTCATTATCGTTGCTGTTCCCTGCATTCCAGCTCCCTTCAGGGATCTGACTGCCCCTGTCTCCTTCCGCAGGGAGTTCTCAGCACCCTGGTGTCAGCCCTCCCCGGGACGGCGACCCCTGCAGTGCTGCTGGAGAGCCGCTACCTCCCTGCGCACTTCTCACCCCTTGTCTTCTTCCTCCTGCTGTCCTGCATGATGGCCGGCTGCTTTGTCGCGTTCTTTCTCCTCCAGCGCCAACGCAGGTGCTGGGACGCCTCCGTAGAGGACCTCATCAACTCCCAGATCACTCTCCACTCCATCCGGCCACGGGGAGAGAAGGACTTGGGTCTCCCGGACAGCAGCCAGGGCCAGGAGCACAGAGAGGAGAAGGCGGCCCCCCACACCCCGGCTCGCCTGGCCTTCATCTACACACTGGTGGCCTTTGTGAACGCGCTCACCAACGGCGTGCTGCCCTCCGTGCAGACCTACTCCTGCCTGTCCTACGGGCCTGTCGCCTACCACCTGGCTGCCACACTCAGCTCCATGGCCAACCCTCTCGCCTCCTTCCTCTGCATGTTCCTGCCTAACAGGTCTGCCCCCATCTGGCCCTGGGGAAGCTTGTTTGGGGGAGCACTTCATTCCAGAACGCAGAATTCCAACCCCTGCCTACGAGGCTGTGTATATAGTGGTTAAGAAGATGGTTTCTGGAGCTCGACTTCCCGGATCCAAATCCCAGCTCTGCCACTTGCACCAGCTGTGTGATATTGGGCAGGTCACTTCACCTCTCTTGTGCTTCAGGGATATTTATCTGGAAAATGGGGGTAATAACAGGTCTACCTCCTAGGATTGCTGGCGTGTGAGATGAGTCAATTCTGGAAAGCTCTTGGAGTAATGCCTGGCACACAGCAGGTCCAGCCTAAGTGTCACCTGTCACTGCCATCGGGCAGTGAGGGGGGGCAGGTGGCTACTGAGGTTCCCATTTACAAGTGGAAACCCTGAGGCTTGGAGAAGGGGCTTGACCTGGTCCAATTCCCAGGATTTCGACCCTGTCCCCAGCCTGTAGCTGGTTCCCTTAGAGCCGCAGCAGTTGTAGAAGGATAGCTGGCCAAGTTCATAAGATGCACATGGAGCCAGCTTGGATTGGGAACAGAGATTTCAATTTTTTCTAAGCAACCCAGGTGCCTCTGAGCCCTGCAGGGGAAACACTATCTTAGGATGTTGACATTTTAGGTCTCACAGCCTCCCATCCACCCCTGGCCTGCCTGCCCCACTGCCTCCCAGACCTGTTCCCAGGCACCACCCAGCCCAGGAAGGAGCAAGGTGAGGACAGGAGAGCTAGACAGAAAATGGAGGTTGCCAGGAGGTTGGATTTTCTCCCTTGGGGCCTAAAACCATGGAGAGAGGATGGAGGAATTGGAGGAAGTAGGACCAGACCTGCAGAATCTGAGAAATCCCAAATGTTAGAAGCACAGAATCTGAGAGTCATGGAATCCAAGAATCTTGGAGCAGAAAGAGTCCTTAGGGCAGTGCAGACCCCCTCCGTTCTCACCCAGGGCACAGACCAGTCTCGGTGTTCTGGGGACTGGACGGTGGGACCCCAGGGACAAGGACCTAAAGGGAAGAACAGTGTCCTCGGTCATCAGACCTAGGGGCTGCATGGAAGGCCACTTGCAGAGTGATGCTATCACAGCAACGAGCCAGCTGCCTGGGCCCCTAGAGATCATGCAACCTCATGTTGCAGACTGGCATAGCTGAGGCCAGAGGGAGAGTCACCTGAGGTCACACAGCACACCTTGAAGTGCCAGTGCCAAAATCAAAGCTGCCTTCTCATCAGCCTGGCTTCCTGGCTGAGGTTGGGCACGTTGCATGAGGAAATGACAGCAGATAAAATGCCGGGTGGGGCCCACAGAGCAGAGCCGCGTACTCTGCTCCTGTGGGTCACCACAGCCCTGCAAGACTCCCGTGCTGAAGGCTCAGGGACCAGTCTCACAGCTGAAATAGTGGAACTGGAATTTGAACCAGGACCATCTGGTGCCAGAGTCCATTCTGTTTCTCTTGCTGGGATACCGGGCCCTGCCATTAATGCTCAGGTGACTCAGGCCATCCTTGCCCCTCAGGAGCCTCACTGACCCATTTCAGCCAGGTAGCCTGGAGTCTAACCTAACCTGCAGATGTTGACGTTGCACATGGCCCCAGGGGTGGGGGGCAGAGGTCAGGCTTCTCACCCCCTCCGCTCACCTCTCATCTCCCCAACTCCACTCTAGGTCTCTGCCATTCCTGGGGGTCCTCACAGTGCTTGGGACCGGCTTTGGGGCCTACAACATGGCCATGGCTGTGAAGAGCCCCTGCCCCCTCCTGCAGGGCCACTGGAGTGGGGACGTCCTTATTGTAAGTATCCCACCTAGGGGCTGCTCCCCTTCCCCCGCCTCTCGCCTCCTGGCCATGGCGTCGGGAGACCCCAGGTACAGCCCTTTCTACTGGCCAGGGTCTCTGTGGTCTCTCTCCCAGGAAGCCCCGGGTGGGAGGGACACCTCTCATTTGGGAGGCTCAGGGAGTTGAGGTGACTGGTTCAGCAGCACTTCCCACCACGTGTACCTCAGCAATGTCCTTGTCTCAGATGCCCTTGACTTGGTCTCGGGGGCCAGAAAAGCCACTGGGTTTTCCCTTGCCCCTGGGGTGGGGGAGGTCAACTCATGGGACACCCCCCACTTAGCCTGGCAGGATCACCTCCAAAGGCTCTCCTTGCCCACGGGTTTCCCTTAGCCCTTCAGGTCACCCTGTGAGGGCTCTCCGCCCCCTCCACTCTGCTTCTCTTCCCGCCCCGGCCCCGCAGGTGGCCTCGTGGGTGCTGTTCACCGGCTGTCTGAGCTACGTCAAGGTGATGCTGGGCGTGATCCTGCGCGACCGCAGCCGCAGCGCCCTCTTGTGGTGCGGGGCGGCGGTGCAGCTAGGCTCGCTGCTCGGGGCGGTGCTCATGTTCCCGCTGGTCAACGTGCTTCGCCTCTTTGTGTCTGCCGACTTCTGCAACCTGCACTGCCCGGCCTAGGCAGGACACCAACCCCGCCCCGTCACCAAGTCCTAGAAACTGGGACCCAGAGAGGCAAGGGGTGTGCCCGAGGGCACGGAGCACGTGGTGGGAGCAGGAAGGCGGACCCTGAGTACTTGAACCAGGAACGCTGAACACCCATTAGAGATCGTGGGGAATGTCACAGGCTTCCCATGGGACCTGGAAAACTCTGTATCATAGTCCCTGTGTCTCCACCGCTTCAGATCTTCTTTCCTTTGACTCTTGAGAGAGAACTGATTCGCAGCACCCAGCAGGAGCCGACCGAGGATGTTACAAGGCAGACAGCTGGGAGGGTAAGCTGTCCCTTGCAAGCTGTGTGGCCTCAGGGAGGTCACTTGACTTCTCTGTGCTTCTGTTTCCTCATCCATAAAATAGGGATTATAAGAAAGAGCACCTACCTCATAGGCCTGGCCCGACGATAAAAGGGTGAAGCACCCAGCATGCGACAAGCCCTCCTGGGCTCTTCCTGATCTGACGCCCCACAGTAATAACAAGAGTGGCAATGAACACAACCTAAAAGTGGCCAGAGGGGTTGAGAGGGCCCCTGCCCTCTTTCCCTTTTCCCATATCCTCACGGAGGAGCTCCTACAAGACAGCTGGCTAATGGTAGAATCCTGGGCATCTCGGCTTTCTAATTCCCAGTACAGAGGGACATTGTACCCCCCACACACCTTCCTGTCATCCTTCCTGGCCCATGAAGCCCCACTCCTTGGAGGGGAAGTGCCCTGCTGGGAGGCAGAGCTGATTGGAGGGAGCCGACCCCAACTCTTAAAAGTGAACTACCCTGCCAGGCTGAGGACCGGACACTGGGGACCCTTGGACGCAGTTTCCTCAACTGGAGGGGAAACAGACGATAGTTATTTTGTTTTACTTTTTGTCTTTCTCTTTTTTAAATAAAGACATTCCCTGCTTTTACACAGAGCAGCCTTCAATGGAGAAGTCCAATGTGAACCCAAAAAATGTATCAACATAATCAGTTTTCAGTTGATTCTAAGGTCAAGGCTGAGCTCAGAAATGAACAAAATCAAGTGGGTAGAGAATGTTGGGTCCTGGGACTTCCTTGTAGAGGTTTTGCTTGGGCTTGCCGCCACCGCAACCCTCCTCCTCCCATTTTAATTTATTTCGAATAGGTAATGTAGTCATATGTCTCAAAACTCAGAAAATATAAAATGGTATACACAGACAAGCCTTCATCCCTCTCCTCCTTCATCTGCCCAGTTCCTCTTAACACACACACACACACACACACACACACACACACACACACACACACGAGCACTTTTATTGGTTCCTTGTTTACCCTCCTGGAGATTATGCAAATATAAGCAAATACAAATACATGGTCTTCTTCTCAGACCTCTTTTTACTGAAAAAATAGTAAGCTATTTTGCACCTTGCGCTCTTCATTCAACAATGAAAAAGGAGAGGGCCTCCTCATGCTTTGTCACGGCTGCGTAGGGTTCCATTGTGCGGAGGTGCCCTGTTTATCTAAACCAGCCCTCAGCAGAAAGACATTTGAAAGTGTTGGGGACAAAATTGAAATGTCCTGTTGATCCGGAAACCTTTTCCCAAAAGTCGAAGAGAAAGGAAACAGTCTTATGATTGAGCAAGCATTAAGCTAGACTGCAGTGTGCATCACAGGCGAGGCGGGAAAGAAATTGCAGAGGCAGAAAGACATTTCTTCCTTTTGTGCAGCCAGACAGCTACAACTTACTGCATACCTGTTCTCAAACAATAACTAGTTCTCAAGCAAAATGATGGGACAGCACCGTTTGTCATAGAGTTGTTCCTGGATTTGCCGGGTAATTGGAGAGGCCATCTGTTAGTTAATTGTCTTTATCCAAAAGAAACATAAACTCGTATCTTTATAGGTGACGGTTTGGCGACTTGGGGCCATGCACTGAAGTTAGGCTCCTCCCCTCCCACGGAGGCTGGGTGATACGGGGGCTGGGGGCTATCTTCCTTGAAATTTACCTTCCAACGGGTGGGCTCACAGGTCCTTAGGAAAACGTCTCTGGGCTACGAAACTGACAAGAGGCTCATTTCACTTTTAAAAAGGCACATCTTAAAGGGACAGAGAAAGAATTTGTAAGTTTTCTAAAGTATTTACTCCAAGAAAAGGGAAGGGGGAATGTCTCTTTCTCTTTTTTGCACCTTGGGGAGCTTGACCCAGTCAGTCCTGTCCGAGGCTTGGGCAAGTCCAGCCTCCGCCTCAGGAATCCTGGACCCAGGCCCAGTTTCTGCCCTGCCCTGTCCTTCCCTGCCTCGGGGCACACCGCTCCCAGTGGGCGTGGCTTGACTGGCTCATACTTTTTAACACTTTAGACGTATGGCCTGTGCCTAGGTCTGCATGTGTGTCCCAGGCCCTGCAAATGGGGTAGGATGCTAGTGGTGGTCCCACTCTTCAAGTCTCTGAGCTCCACGAGGGAGTCTGAATTGTTGTCCTGTAGCCCTTCCCCACCTCCCCTCCCCTCCACCCTAAGAAGGGCTCTACAAATATTAGTGGTAGGCAGAAGAGCTCCCACAGATGTAGATGCCCTCATTCCTGGAACCTGTAAATATGTTACTTTACATGGCAAAAAAGACTTTGCAGATGGAATGAAGGTTACAGACTTTAAAATAAGGAGATGATTCCGGAACACCCGAGTGGGCCCTATCGAATCCCACGAGCCCTCAAAAGCAGAAAATTGCAAGAGACTCAGCGAAGGAGGTGAGAAGAGAGAAGCCGCAGAAGTCAGGGAGATTCCAAGGTGAGAAGGATTTGCCACCCTTGCTTGCCGTTGCCGGGTCTGGGATGGAGGAGGAGCCGGTGCATGAGGACGAGAGAGCGTGGAGCCTGTGGGCACTAGGGGCAGCCCCAGCTGACAGCCAGCAAGGAAGGGGGGAATCTTAGCCAGCAACAGCAAGGAACTGGATTCTGCCAACAACCTGAGTAGCTTGGAAGCAGATCCTCTCCCAGAGCCTCCAGGAAGGAGCGCAGCCCTGCCAACACCCTGATTTTAGCCTCATGAGACCTGGCTCTGACTTCTAACCAACAGAACTGTGGAATGATAAATTTGCATTGTTTTAAAGCTCTGATCCACTCAGGAGGCTAAGGCGGGAGGATCACTGGAGCCCAGGAATTCAAAGCCAGCCTAGGTAATGACATCTTGTCTCTAAAAAAACAAAACAAAACAAAACAAAAACCTGCTGTTGTCGTTCTTGGCAGCAGCGAGAAAACTGATACAACCTAGTTCTGACATCCCATAAGCCTGCAAGGTGTGTTCTTGTGCAGCGTGACAGACGCAAAACAGCCCCAGGGATCCAACATCACACTGCACATGTGGAAACAGAGGTCCAGATGGGGGATTGCTCTAGCCAGAGTCACCCCAAAAATGGGTTGCAAAGTCAGGACACAAAGGCCACTCTAGTTGGCTGAATCCAGGGTTCTTTCTAATGAGCTGTTGGCGTAAATACTAAGATTTGTCCACACTTCAGATTTGTCCTTCCCAGAGGAAGGCGGCCTCAGGATCTTGGAAATGTCAAATAGACCAGGACCGTTTTGAGGACAGCCTCACAATGTCATCTGAAAGAGAACTGGTGAGTATTACGTTTCCTCGAGGTCGTGCAGCATGGGAATGGCCAAGCATCTGTCCTGTGCATCCCCACTGGGGCCCACCCCAGCGACCCTCAACTTCATGGCTTTAAAGAGTCTTCCCACTGCCGCCCTTCCCGGTTGGCCATATGCCAGAGCATGAGGTCATTTCTGCTGTCATCTGCGGAGCACCTCCCCATGCCCCGGGCTCTTTCTGAGGCTTACTTATTTGATGCTCAAAGAAGCCCTATGAAATGCTTCCTATTATTTCAGTCCTATTTTACAAATAAAGAAACCGAGGCACAGAGATGTTAAGTATCTTGCCAGAGGACACACAGCCAGTGAGTGGCAGAACCAAGACTCAGACCCGGGCCGCCTAGGCTCTGCATTACATGTTCTTTCTATGTCAGAAATGTGAGCCTCAAAGCATGTGACTTGGTCAAGAAAGCCTTGATTCAAAGCAAGCACTGGCTTCAGATGGGGAAACTGAGTCACAGGGAAATAAAGCTCCTCCCTGGACCGTCACCTTCTAGCTTGACCTTGGAACATTGAAATCCACTCCCATGGCCCCTCATCCATCACCCATCCCCGCCCCCAACACACACACACACACATACACACACACACACACACACACACACAAACTCCTTTGGAAGTGAATAAAAGCGCAGAGAAATTAAGTGCTCTTCTAGACAGGATGTGATTACACACACAGACTGATGGTGTATCACTTTTAGAGTGACCAGCAGAGGATCTGAAATTGCCAGAGAAGTTTCGTCATGCACTTTGTTCTGCGGTTCTGGTTTTATAATGGGATGGCCTTTCCTGATTCTCTTCATGATGTTTATAGGAGTAAAATCTGGGGATTGCTGTGGTTGGCAAATACCGGTGGTGTTGCTGGGACTGTGCCTTTCGTTTGGAAATTGCTGGCTGGGCAGCTGGCTGCTGGGTGTGCCTTAAGAAAGAAGGGCTCCTCTGTTATAACTTGTGACTTGGCCCGGGCCAGTGTCCTCTCACAGAGTGTAAGACACAGAGCTTTCCCTTCTGATGGGGAAACATAGTATCATGGAGACAATAAGGTCGAGCAACAAATAGTACTGCTAGTTGCTACAACGTCCATTCTCTCGTTTCTTTCATAGTCACAGAACCCCTGACTTCACCAGGCACCACGCAGCCCAGAGTAAAGACCACACTTGCCAGGCTTCCCTGTGGCTAGGAGTGGCCGTGTGACTATGTTTGGACAAATGGGAGATGAGCAAGAATAATGTGTGCAGGCCGGGGACAGTGGCTCACGCCTGTAATCCTTGCACTCTGGGAGGTCAAGGCGGGCGGATTGTTTGAGCTCAGGAGTTCGAGACCAGCCTGAGCAAGAGCAAGACCCGTCTCTACTAAAAATAGAAAGAAA